GGGGGGGGGGGGGGGGGGGGCGGGGCGAGGCGGGCGGTGGTCTGAGGACCCGGAGGGATGCGCCTGCGCGGTAACATCAGCTGTCTGTCTCCCCGCCCCCGCTGCTCCGCAGTCACATCGGCCAGTGAATACGCCCACAGGGGGCTGGACAAACTGGAGGAGAATCTGCCCATCTTGCAGCAGCCACCGGAGAAGGTGACTGAGCGCCCCCAGTGGGGGGAGGTGAGGGGGGGTGGGATGCTCAGCTGAGACGGGGGCCTGCCTAGGTATCCAGTCTGTGGTCCCACCTTAACCAGAGGAGATGAGTGGGACAGCTTCCTCCCTGACCCCTCCTCTGTCTGTCCCCAGACCCCCACCAGGCAGCTGCAGGAGCATTCTGGACACCAGGCAGATGGGCCCTAAACCGCCTCGTGTCTCCCACCTGGCCCAGAGCAAAAGCCAAAGCCCTACTCATGGCCCCGCCAGATCTGGCCCCGCTGCCTCTCTGCCCTCCCTGCCCACCTCACTTGCTCCATTCCGTCTGCGCTGGCCTCCACCCTCCTGTTCAGTCACATCAGCGCCCATAGGTACCAGACACAGTGATGGAAACAGTCCTTGCCCTCATGGAACTTTCATTCCAGGGAAGCAGGGAAAGCAGATACAGTGAACATACCCATCTCAGTGCTACCCCAGGATCTTTGCACCTGCTGTTCCTTCTTCATGGACCAGGCTTCTGGGACTCTGTTCTAATCTCACTTCTTCAGAGGCCTTCCCTTCCCTCTTAAAGAAGGTCCTTCCAGTTCAGCTCTGCCCAGTAGAACTTTTTCTGTACACCTTCTTTCTGTGCACCATCCAATATGGAAACCAACAACCATATGTGGCTGCTGGGCCCTTAGAATGTGGCGAGTGTGACTGAGGAACTCGAATACTAATTTTAATTATTTTTTTAACATTGGGATTATTCTTTTATTTTTATTTATTTTTATTTATTTATTTTTTTCCCGTCCGCGGGCCTCTCACTGTTGTGGCCTCTCCCGCTCTGGACGCGCAGGCTCCGGATGCGCAGGCTCAGCGGCCATGGCTCACGGGCCCAGCCGCTTCGCGGCATGTGGGATCTTCCCGGACCGGGGCACGAACCCGTGTCCCCTGCATCGGCAGGCAGACTCTCAACCACTGTGCCACCAGGGAAGCCCTAAAATTTATTTTTATTTATTCTTTTAAATTTAGTTGCACCGGGTCTTAGTTGTAGCAGGTGGGCTCCTTAGTTGTGGCTTGAGGGCTCCTTAGTTGTGGCATGCAAACTCTTAGTTGTGGCATGCATGTGGGATCTAGTTCCCTGACCAGGGATCGAAACCAGGCCCCCCAAATTGGGAGTGCAGAGTCTTAACCCCTGCGCCACTGGGGAAGTCCCTAATTTTAATTATTTAAAAATTTTAAATAGCTAATTTTAATTATTTTAAATTGAAATAGGCACACGTGGCTTGTGGCTCCTCTATTAGCATCATTCACACTACATCAGCTTGTTTGTTTTTAATGTTTATTGGAATATAGTTGCTCTCCAATGTTGTGTTACTTTCTGCTGTACGGCAAAGTGAGTCAGTTATACGTATATCCCCACTTTTTTAGATATCCTTCCTATTTAGGTCACCACAAAGCACTGAGTAGAGTTCCCTGTGCTGTACAGTAGATTCTCATTAGTTATCTATCTTATACGTAGTAGTGTATATATGTCAATCCCAGTCTCCCAATTCATCCCACCGACCCCCCTCCAGCTTTTTGGTTTAACAGCTTTCACTGAGATATAATTCATGTACCGTACATCTCGCCCATTTAAAATGTACAACCCAGTGGTTTTAGTACATTCAGATTGTGCAGCCACCATCATCCCTTTTAGAACATTTTCATCACCCCAGAAACAAATCCCACATGCCTTAGCTCCTTCCCCTCCCCCAGCCCCTGGCCCCCACCATCTACTTTCTGTCTCTGTGGGTTTGACTCCTCTAGGGACCTCCTGTGAGTGGAATCAGGCAGTATTTGTGCTTTTGTGTCTGGATTATTTCACTAAGGATCACGCCCTCAGGGTTCATCCATGTTGTAGCAGGTGTCAGAATTTCTGAGTGGACCACATTTTGTTTCTCCATACTTCCGCCAGTGAACTCCTGGGTTGTTTTCACCTTTGGGCTGTTATATACCCATGCTCATTGCAGCAGCGTTCACAAGTTGCGTTAACTTTTTTTTTTTGGCTGTGCCACGCAGCTTGTGAGATCTTAGTTCCCGGACCAGGGATCAAACCCCGGCCCCCTGCAGTGGAAATGCGGAGTCCTGACCACTGGACCACCAGTGGATTCCATGCATTAACTTTTTTTTTTTTTTTTTTTTGCGGTACGCGGGCCTCTCACTGTTGTGGCCTCTCCCGTTGCGGAGCACAGGCTCCGGACGCGCAGGCTCAGCGGCGATGGCTCACGGGCCCAGCCGCTCCGCGGCATGTGGGATCTTCTAGGCCCAGGGCACGAACCTGTGTCCCCTGCATCGGCAGGCGGACTCTCAACCACTGTGCCACCAGGGAAGCCCCATGCATTAACTTTTAAAAAACATTTCAGATAGTGTGTTACATAACTGCTTATTTGTCTCCCCGGCTGGGGTGCGGGCACAGACTGTCTGCTTTGTTGTTCTGCCAAGTGCCCATCATACAGCCTGGCACTTAGGAGATGCTTATTAAACACGTAATTCATCGCCCCTTTTTCCTGGTGGGACGGAAGTGCCGCACTAAGGCAAACCTGTTCACGTTGAGAATCTTCCCACCAGAAATAGGTGTTCCCTGGTCGGGGGCAGTGGGACACGCCAGCCACTCCTCCGGTTCCCTTAGGCTTTCTGCTGAGACCACCTTGTCAGGCAGCTTATTCACCCGCTAGCTCTCAAGCGCCTCCTGTCGGCCAGGGGCCACGATATGTCCCCCAAGGGCAGCCCCGTTAGACAGAAATGGAGTGGGCTGGGGAGCACTGGAACAGAACCCGAGCCCATGTCTTACCACAAAGGGTGTTAACAAGTTGGGCATGTGGAAGGTGAAAATGGCCACATCCAAAGAAGGATGGAGAATCATCGCCCAGGAGCCACCTCCTTCGGGCTGAGTGCTTGCATTCTCTTCCTGTCCTGCCGGTGTCACCAGGCCAGCATTCCTTCTGTTTATAGACGGGATGAGCTCAGGGTGACATTGGACAAGGTTGTCCAACAGAGCGGCTGCTCTGAGCTCCTGAATTCCTGGGAGGCTCTCTCTTCTTCTTTTTTTTTTTTTTTTTTTTTTTTTTTTTTTTTTTTGGCCCTGCCTTGCGTTTTGCAGGATCTAAGCTCCCCAACCAGGGACTGAACCCAGGCCCTTGGCAGTGAACGCCCCAGGTCCTAACCACTGGACCGCCAGGGAATTCCCATCATGGGAGGCTCTCCTGATTCTAGGCCTTGTGAGGTTCCCCTTCAGAATGAGGTAGCTCTCCCTGGTCCTGTGGGACAACAGTGTTGTCAGAGCTGGGATTTGAACCCGGGCCAGCGTGAGTTACATGACAGCCCCACTGTGTGCTCAGTGAGCTTAGGGCTGGTGTTCAAATCTGACAACCGTGCCCTCTTCCCCCCAAAAGTGACTGATTCCCACGAATAGGAGGGTTTAGGTGTTAAGAGGGGCGCCAGCTTAGAAGGGTAGGATGGGAGGGGGCATGGTTTTTAACTTTCCAGAGTGCTCTGTGGGTAGAGATCTATTTAAAGACTTAGATTCAAGAACACCAGGCATGGGGCAACCAGTACCCACTGTGTGCTCAAGCAGCTTCTCCAAGGATGCAATGCAAAGCTAGTCCAGAGGTGGGCAAATTTGGCCTTCTGCCTGTTTTTGTAAATAATGTTTTATTGGCACACAGCCGCAAACGGTGGCTTGCGCATCATCTGTGGCTGTGTTTGCCTGAACACTGGCAGGTTTGAGTCGTTGGGACAGAGACCCTCTGGCCTGCAAAGCTGAAAATATTTACCATCTGGCCTTTCCTGGAGAAAGTTGCTGACCCCTTTTAACCAGTCAAGGTTACAGGCAGGAGAATCAAAATACCAGGTTAAAATCCAGGCTCTGCTCCTTAGCAGCTGGACAGCCCTCAACACAAGCTGTTCAGCCTCTCTTGGCCTTGCTTTCTCTTCTGGGGAATGTGTACACTCCTGTGTCTTGGAGATTTGCTGAAGTGGGTTCATCACCTGAAGGCCGAGAACATACTAAGTGTTGGTTCTTTTTTTTTTTAATTTTCATTGGAGTATAGTTGATTTACAGTGTTGTGTTAGTTTCAGGGGTACAGCAAAGTGAATCAGTTATAGATATACATATATCCACTCTTTTTTAGGTTCTTTTCCCATATAGGCCATTACAGAGTATTGAGTAGAGTTTCCTGTGCTATACAGTAGGTCCTTACTAGTTATCTATTTTATATATGGTAGTGTGTATATGTCAATCCCAATCACCCAATTTGTCGCCCGCCACTGGTTCTTAACGTCTTGATACGAGCTTCGGGGTCCACAAAATGCTCTGATGTTTTGGGCACGTCACCAGTTCACAATGGGGAGTTCAATGTAGTTAACGTGTTAAATTGGCAGTTAATGGAGACAGAACGTTTGGTTATTTGGGCATGTGCATAAAATCCCTCCTGTTGCTTTATTTTTGTTTGTTTGCTTTTGTTTTTTTTTTTTTTTTTGCGGTACGCGGGCCTCTCACTGTTGTGGCCTCCCCCGCTGCGGAGCACAGGCTCCGGACGCGCAGGCTCAGCGGCCATGGCTCACGGGCCCAGCCGCTCCGCGGCATGTGGGATCTTCCCAGACCAGGGCATGAACCCGTGTCCCCTGAATCGGCAGGCAGACTCTCAACCACTGCACCACCAGGGAAGCCCTGCTTTTGGGTTTTTTGGTTTTTTTTTTTTTTGGTTGCATTGGGTCTTCGTTGCTGCGCGGGCTCTGTCTAGTTGTGGTGAGCGAGGGCCACTCTTCATTGTGGTGTGTGGGCTTCTTATTGCGGTGGCTTCTCTTGTTGCGGAGCACGGGCTCTAGGCGCGTGGGCTTCAGTAGTTGTGGCACATAGGCTTAGTAGTTGTCGCTTGTGGGCTGTAGAGCGCAGGCCCAGAAGTTGTGGCACACGGGCCTAGTTGCTCCACAGCATGTGGGATCCTCCCAGACCAGGGCTCGAACCCGTGTCCCCTGCACTGGCAGGCAGATTCTTAACCACTGTGCCACCAGGGAAGCCCTGCTTTGGGGTTTTTTTTGGCTGCGCCATGTGGCTTGTGGGATCTTAGTTCCCCAGCCAGGGATTGAACCTGCCCTCTCGGCAGTGAAACACAGAGTCCTAACCACTGGACCACCAGGGAATTCCCCTCCTGTTGCTTTAGTGTAGCTCTGAGCGTCTCACTCTAAAGCGGGGTCCCTTTCCCTCAGCACCACTGACACTGGGGCCAGTCATTCTCTGTGGGGGGCCATCCCAGGAGCTGTAGGGTGTTGAGCAGCATCCCTGGCCCCCACCCACTCAATGTCAGGAGCCCCTCCCCCCACAAGTCGTGACGACCACAGATGTCCCCAGACACCGCCCAATGTTCCCTGGGGGCAGAAACACCCTGGATGAGTAGTGCTGTCCTGAGGGACTTAACATTACTGATTACCTGTTCAAACAGGATTGCAGTTCTTAGTACAGGATTGGAGTGGTCCCTTCTAGGGATGTCGCTAGTTTCCGGTGTCAAACAGATTCAGTGCTTGAGCCAAGCACTGTTCTAACCCTGTGATTTAGCCGATTAGGGCTGCTGTAACAAGTATCCCTAACAACAGACATTCATGCTTGCACAATTCTGGAGGGTGGAATTCCGAGACAAGGTGTCGGCAGGGCTGGTTTCTCCGAGGCTCCTCTCCTTGGCTTGTAGATGGCCATCTTTTCCCTGTGTCCTCACATGGTCATCCCTCTGTGCGTGTCTGTGTCCTAATCTCTTTGTATAAGGACACCAGTCAGACTGGATTAGGATCCACTCTAATGGCCTCATTTTACCTTAATTACTGCTTTAAAGGTCTCATCTCCAAATACAGTCACATTCTGAGGTTCTGGGGGTTAGCGCTTCAACACTGTTCAGCCCATAACACCATGGGGAGAAGTGGAGGCCCAGAGAGGTCGAGTGATTTGCTTGAGGCCACACAGCTAGGATATATCAAGCCAAGGACTCTAACCAGGCTGTCCAGCTCCAGAGCACGTGATCTTAACTGCTTTCACCCTTCAGGGTCATCCTGGAGCTGGAACTCCTCCCGTCGGCCCAGGGTGCAGGATGGGGGTACCCAGGTACGAAGGGAGGACGGAGATACTGATGCTGTCCTTTCTCGTAGGTCCTGGCAGACACCAAGGAGCTTGTGTCGTCCAAAGTGTCGGGAGCCCGAGAAGCTGTGTCCAACACCGTGTCCAGCGCCAGGGACACCATGGCCTCCCGGGTGACCGAGGCGGTGGAGGTGACCCGGGGTGCTGTGCAGAGTGGCGTGGACATGACCAAGTCCATGTTGACCAGTGGCGTCCACTCGGTCATGGGCTCCCGCGTGGGCCAGATGGTGCTGAGCGGGATGGACACGGTGCTGGGCAAATCGGAGGAGTGGGTAGACAACCACCTGCCCATGACGGACACTGAGCTTGGTGAGTGCAGCCCACATGGCTGGGACCCCTCCCCAGACCATCTGACATGGGGTCCCTCTCAGCCACCAGGAGGAGTCTGTCCATCACATGTTGTCATCTCATCCCCGCCCCCTCTTCCCGTCTACCTTAGCTCACCTGGACCAGCTCCTTTCCCTCTGCCCTGGTCTGTGGTGCCTGTCCTCCCTGAAGAAGCCTCCAGAGGGCACCTGTGAGCACTCAAGTCAGGCCCTTCCAAGCCTCCCACCTCCCGTGGGTAAAAGCCCAAATCCTCCTGGAAGTTCCCTTGTACTTACCTGCTTGCCCTCATTCATTCTACTCCAGGCACACTAGCCTTCTTGCCCATCCTGGACCGTGTTCCCACCCCAGGGCCTTTGCACTGGCTGTTTCTTCTACCAGGAACTCTGCCCTTACATCCAGATGTCTCGTTCTTTCTAACTCCAGCTCTGTGCTCAAATACCACCTCCCAATAAGGCCTCTAAAATTGCACCGTCCCTCATGCATGCTGTGTCCTGAAACCTCCCCCCAGGCCCGGCTCTGATTTTTCTCTTCAGCACTGGTCGTCAGTTCCACAAAGCAGAAGCTGTGTCCTTCCTGAGTCTAGAACGGGGCCTGGCACTTAGCAGGTGCTGAAACCCCCAAATAAAATCACTCAAACTCTTCTCTATCATTCCCCCACCCCACCCGAGGCATATATTTGTTTGTTCAAATGTTCCTTAAGCACTGGCTGTATGCCAAGCCCTCTCTAGGTCCTAGGGATACGTCAGTGAACAAAGTTCTGCCTTCGTAGAACCTAAAGTCTAACGTGTACAGAAGTCAGATTTAAGGAGATGTTTCTGAGGAGGTGACTTTGCCCTGTCGTGCATGGAGGGAGGGAATGAGCTGTGCAGATGTCAGGGCAGAGACACAGGGAACACAGATCCGGGCGCAGGGGCGTACCTGGTGTGTTGGAGGGACAGCAAGGAGGCCCGTGTGTCTGGAGCAGTGAGCGAGGGGGAGAAAGGGAGGAGGGGAGGGCAGGGAGGGGACCGGGAAGGTCGTGCAGGGCCTTGTGGGCCCCGGGGAGCACTTGGGCTATTACCCCAGGGAGGTGGGACCCTGGAGGGCTGTGGGCAGGGGGCGGGGGCGGTGGGGCCTGACTTGGTACTCACTCACGCCCTCTGGTGGCTGCTTTTGGGAGGACAGACTCCGGGTGAGGAGAGGGTAGGAGCCAGGGGAAACCGGGTTCAGGTGAGCCCTGATGGGGCTGGACCAGTTGGTGGTAGGAATAAAGAGAAATAGACGAACTGGGGATAAAAGTGTTGAGACAAAGCAGCCACTCTTACTCATGGTCTCATACACATAGCTCTTGGGGTTGGCCTTGACCCCGCCTTCTAGAGACAGCCTTCCTTTGCACACATACCGGGAACTTCCAGCCGGGCCAGCAGTTGCAGACTCCAGTGCCCACAGCAGCAAGGGCCCACGAGGGCCACGTGTAACCAGACACCATGCTCCGTCCAAAGGGAGCAGCCTCTCGGCTCCGGCCAACTTTAGCCAGAGCTGGTTTGTTTGAATGAGATGCCAAATATTTGGGATGACTGGAAAGAATTGATGACAGACTAGATCAGGGTTTCCCAACTGTCATTGGAGCCAGGTCATCCTCTGTGGGGGGCTGTCCTGGGCACTGTGGGGTATGGAGCAGCCTCCATGGCCCCACCCGCTCGATGCCAGGAGCACCCCCAATTGTGACAACCACAGATGTCCCCAGACATTGCCCAGTATACCCTGGGGGCAGGATCACCCCCAGGTGAGAACCAGTGCTTTGCCTGTTCTAGAACGTCATATAAAGGGAATCATATGGGAATTCCCTGGCGGTCCAGTGGTTAGGGCTCCACGCTTTCACTGTCGAGGGCGCGGGTGCGATCCCTGGTCGGGGAATGCTACAAGCCACGTGGTGCAGCCAAAAAAAAAAAAAAAAAGGAATCGTGATTCCCTCATGGGTAGACAGCTCCTAATCATTATGTCCAATCTCTTTTCCCATTGGGATTGCAACATGTCACTGTTCTAGCTGTTAGCTGGGAAACTTCCATGGACAAAGTTCTCTGTTGCAATCTTGATTACCCCAAGGTACGGTTTATAGAGGAAAAGCAGGGCAAGTAGTTAACATTCCCCCTTTTTATTTATTGTGGCATCACGGGCTGGTTCACCAGTACCCTCCAAGTGTACGTAGTGAGTCTTTACATTATAGGTTTGAACACGAAGATTAACACGACCGACGTATTGCGATCCGAGGTATTTATTTTATTGACGCTTCACTTGTCCTATTATTTTCAACTGCTTGGAGCCCTCCTTGAGCTGACTCTGAGACCCCATGATTCTCCCTGGGAATCCTCGGCAGAAAGTCATGGTCTCTTGCCTTCTGGAGAAACTCGATGTTCTAGGTGGGGTGATGTTCCTGGTGGGGCGACGTTCCAGGCAAAGGATCTTAAGCCCTGCAGCGTGTGGCTTGAGCATAGCGTGTCGCTTGTCCTTTGTGTTTTCAAAACCTGACTCCAAACCTCTTGAAGGAAGGGACCTGGCTGATGTCTTCCGTCCTGTATCCCAAGTTCAGTGCCTGCTGGCCTCTTGTAGTGCTCAGACCAAGTCACACTTGGCTATGGGTCTTGACCCCCAAAAGTAGGGGGAGAAGCAGGGTTTGCTGGGAGGCAGGTTGTGAAGCAAGCCTGGGAGCCACTTCAGAGAACAGATCTGTCTGAGCAGCTTTGACCTTCTGCGCTTTCCTTTGTGTCCATCCACTAAGGGTGAAATCACTGTGCACAGTGGTGCTTGAGGTACTGGGGAGGTCTGTGAGTAAAGGTGCCATGTTAGAGCTAGGATATTACTCGTGGGCTCGGGGCGGGAGCACAGCCCTGCTCCCCCTCTCTCCCAGTTCTCCCCTTTGCCAAGGGCACTGCCCCCTCCAGGGGCCCTGCCGGCTTGCTCTGACATGCCTAGGCTCTGCCAGACATCCTTGGCCTAAATAACAAAGCTGCTTTCACTTCCAAGGGCAGAGCTCCCGGGTTCCCAGAGGGCCGTGGAGAAGTTCTGGCCATTAGGATGGGTTCAAAATATCGCTGGTTTGGGTTTAGTCTTTGCAAACCTGCCTTTGGTGGGAGAATGGGGCAGAGTCTGTTTTTCCCAAGACGCCAGCTTTTATTTTCGCTGCCTCTAAATGTCCCAGGTGTTTGGGGTTTTTGTTCAGTTTATAATTTATTTTTTAATCTTTTTGTAATTCATTTTAATTTTTTTAATTAAAAAAAATTTTAATTGAAATTTAGTTGATTTACAATGTTGTGTTAGTTTCAGGTGTACAGCAAAGTGATTCCGTTATATCTATTCTTTTTCAGATTCTTTTTCCTTATAGGTTATTACAAGATATTGAATATAGTTCCCTGTGTTATACCGTAGGTCCTTGTTGGTTATCTATTTTGTTCAGTTTTTTAAATGTCATCATGAAATGACCCTTCTGTGACATAGCTGACTATGTTAGACTACCTCCAGGCCATCTCCGGCCCACCGTCTGCTTTTGTAAATAAAGTTTTATTGGCACACAGCCAGGCCCATTCATTTACATTTACTCTGGCTGCTTTTGAATACCAATGGCAGAGTTGATTAATTGCACAGTAGAGCCTGGAAAGCTGAAAATATTGACTGAACTGGCCTCTTACAGAAAAAGTTTATTAATCCCTGGATAAGAGTATGTTCTTCCAAAATTTTTAATGTTTATAGTGTCAACGAAAATCAATAAGCAGCCAATAATAAGAAAAGAAAAGAGTTTTATTTGAGCCAAACTGAGGACTATACCCTGGAAGCCTGCTTCCCAGATAACTCTGAGAAACTGCTCCTGAGAAGCAGAGTTTTCAGCACAGTTTTTTATCTTGTCAGAACGAAAAACTTTAAACAATTCAGGGTTACATTTCTTCAAGGTTTCAAAAAAAGAAAGAAAAAAAGGAACAGACCAGCATGTACACGAGTCAGTATGGCCTTGGCACCTAGGAAGGAATCTTATCATCAAAGGAGGACCAGCATTTTGGTGTCCCAGAAAGGGAGGCATTTAATCTTGATTTTGAACATGGACTTTCTTTACTTCTGGCCAATGTGCCCTTTTCTTTAATAATTGAAGCAGATGTACAACGTAGGTTTGATAGGCCACACAAAGGCTATTTTAGGTAGCATCAAATTCAAGTTAACTCAGGTATAAGCCAGAATGACTTCCCTATCTATATCTTAATATGTGAAAATTTCTTTTATCAATAGAAACAACCGAATTCCCCTGACTGAAGTCTTACCTTGATCGAGCAAGGGGTCGATGGCACCATGTGGGATTTTGTTGCTTGATTTTCCCTTTTCTTTCATTTCTGGAACAGTGCCCAATCCAAAGGAGAGGCATATTTAGGTGGCTAAAGTGGGGATCTCACTCATCAGACCAGCCCCACTGTTCCTGCCTGACCAGAGCACATTTCTTGCGTTATCTTGGTCACGTGTACTCCCTGTTCTGTTTATTTGCTATTCTTTCAATCAACTTTGCCAGATTCTTTTAGAAAGGGAACTTTATCACTTACTATAAACAGATAAACTACAAATAGGTAATAAGAATAGCTAAACACTTGTTCATTTGCGTGCCTTTCTGAAGGCAGTGAAATCGCGGAGTCCTAACCCCTGGACTGCCAGGGAATTCCCCAGATTTCACATTTTAGGCATTTCTAACGCGGGTGGTCTTACAGAAGCGAAACTGAGGCTTTTTGACCAAATTACTTCTGCATCCAGGGGGCCACAAACATTTTCTTGACAGGCCAGGTAATAAATAATTTTGGCTTTTTTGGGCCATACAGTCTCTGTTGCAACTATGCAATTCTGCCATTGTAGCACAAAAGCATAGACAGTAGGTAAATGAATGGTTGTGATTTTGTGTCAATAAAACTTTATTGATAAAGGCAGGTGGCATTCAGCCCAGGGGCTATAGTTTGCAGACCCTGCCATAGGGCCTTACAAAGCCAGTGATTTATTAGGATCGGATTTAAACTCAGATCGGGTTACTTACAAAGCTCAAACTTTTATCACTACTATAGTAAAGTCTAAAGGGAGCAGGATAAGATAGGATCAAATTATCAAGACAGGTGGATTTCCATCCTGTTGCCTTGTAACTTTATGAGTATTTTCTGGACTAGATAGTCCGGACTTCCCTTAACAGCTGTGAAGATGGTTCTCCTATGTCTCAGACTTCTCCTCCCGTCAAGTATCGTGGTTAAGAACATGGGGCCTGGCTTCAGATCCTGATTTGTGACGTCCCAGCTGTGTGACCTTCGGCAAGTCACTTAACGTCTCTGAGTCCCCGTTTCCCTGTCTGTAAAAATGGGATAACGGTGTCTCCATCTTAGAACTGTTATGATTTAACAAGAATGCCCACAAAGCACCTAGAACATTGTGAAAGATTGGCCACTATTAATATATGTTAGGCGCTAATACAGGCAGGATTGGCAAACTTTTTTCTGTAAAGGACCAGATAATGAATATTTTAATCTCTGCAGGCTAAGAGGCCACATATTCCAGAGGCCACCTCTGTTGTTTGAGAGCAGCCATAGACAACATATAATAAACATAGACGGTTGTATTCATGGGTCGGGTTGTCCCGAGGGCCGTAGTTTTCAGACTCTCACGCCAGTCTCAGGGCTTTTTTTTTTTTTTTTTTTTTTTTTTTTGCCATGCCTCACAGCATGTGGGATCTTAGTTCCCTGACCAGGGATCGAACCCATGCCCCTTGTGTTGGAAGTGTGGAGTCTTCACCACTGGACTGCCAGGGAAGTCCGTAGTATAAGGCCTCTTGATCCTGGGATATTCAGTCCCTATCATACCCATTTAGCAGATGGGGAAAACCAAGGCAGGGAAATCCTTTTACACTTGCAGACCTGGGGCACAAACTCGGCCTTCACAGTGCTTCTCCTGCCTTCCCCCCGCAGCCCGCCTCGCCACCTCCCTGGAGGGCTTCGACATCGCCTCAGTGGCCCAGCAGCGGCAGGAACAGAGCTACTTTGTGCGTCTGGGCTCCCTGTCAGAGAGGCTGCGCCAGCGTGCCTACGAACACTCTCTGGGTAAACTGCAGAGCACCAGGCAGAGGGCCCAGGAGGCGCTGCTACAGCTCTCACAGACACTCAGCCTGGTGAGGCCCGCAGTGACGGGGGCGCTGGCCAGCAGCGTGTGTGCCAACAAACCCCTCCCCAGCCTAGTGGCTTATTCCTCCCCACACATCCGCCTGGACTCGCTCACGGGGCCACGGTCCTGGATGAGTTTGCTGGGGCTGCTGTAACAAAGTCCCACACACTGGGCAGCTTAAACACAGACGTTTATTGCCTCACAGTTCTAGAGGCTGGGAGTCCAAGATCAAGGTGTTGGCACGGTGGTTCCTTTTGTGGCCTCTCTCCTTGGTGTGTAGACGACTGTCTTCTCTCTGTGTTCTCACCTGGTCATCCCTCCATGCATGTCTGTGTCCTAATGTCCCCTTTTTATAAGGACACCAGTCATATAGGATTAGGGCCCACCCTAATGACCTCATTTTAACTTAATTACCTCTTTAAAGACCCATCTCCAAATACAGTCACATCCCGGGGTCCTGGGGGTCAGGGCTCCAACCTGTGAATTTGGAGGGGACACAGTTCAGCCCATGACAGGTTGGCTGGAGACTGGGTCTCTCGGTGTGGTCTCCTCCTCCATTAGGGTACCTCAGGCTTCCCCTGGCTGTGGCCTTAGGGATCCAGGTACAGCGGGAACACGTGAGCACTTTTTTTTTTTTAATTTATTTTTGGCTGTGTTGGGTTTTTGCGGCACGCGGGATCTTTCGTTGCGGTGCGCGGGCTTCTCTCTAGTTGTGGCACTGGGGATGAGCACATTTTTTGTTTGTTTAAAGTCAGTTTTATTTGAGGTATAACTTACATTTTACAGACAATGAACATCACCCCTTGTAAAGTATACAGTTTGAAGAGTTTTACAAATATAAACAGACATGTAACCACCACTGCAATCAAGATGTGGAACATGTTCATCACCCCAAAAAGTTCCCTCCTGCTTCTTTGCAGTCAAATCCTGCCGCCTGAAGTTTTTAATTTTTCTGTTCTCTAAAGAGGGAAATGTCTAATTTCTTTCCCTGTTTGCTTAGCTTCTACTCAGTACTATCTCCTCTCTTTTTAAAAAAATTTTAGATTGTGGTAAAATACACATTTTAACCAATTTTTAACCAATTTTAAGTGTATAGTTCAGTGGCAATCAGTACCTTCACATTGTTGTGCAACCGTCCCCACCATCATCTCCAGAACTTTCTCATCCTCCCAAACTGAAACTCTGTCCCCATGAAACACTCACTCCTCAGCCCCTCCCCCAGCCCCTGGCCCCCACCATCTACTTCCTTTCTCAATGGATGTGACTCCTCTAGGGACCTCCTGTGAGTGGGATCAGACAGTATTTGTCCTTCTGTGTCTGGCTTCTCTCACTGAGCATCATGTCCTCAGGTCCATCCATGTTGCAGTGAGTGTCAGAATCTCGTTCCTTTTTAAGACTGAGTAAAATATTCCATTGCAAGTGCTTGTTAAGCCTCTGCTTGTGCTCCATCTGCTTGTGTCCCATTGGCCAAAGCCCGTCACGTGGCCAGGCCCACTTGCAGGGCGGGGGTGGGTGAGGGGTGGGGAGAAACAGGCAAGATGGGAGGAGCTGCAGAGAATCTGTGGCCACTTTCTTTGCAAGTACCACACGGGGCACAAGCATGTTGATGACCCTGAAATCCACAGCCTGTGGCAACACTCTGAGAAAAGACAGCATCCCTCCCCCTTCTCTCCCCATCTCAGATGAAAGGACCGCCCCCGCTCCCTCTGGAATCCCACATCTAGGATTCCTGTGGATTCCCATGTGCTCTGCTGGTTTTGGTCAAGGGCCAAGGCAGCCACCCTCTCTCTCTGTGCTCCAGATGGAAACCGTCAAGCAGGGTGTCGACCAGAAGCTAGTGGAGGGTCAGGAGAAACTACACCAGATGTGGCTCAGCTGGAACCAGAAGCAGCTCCAGGGCCCAGAGGAGGATGCAGCCAAGCCAGAGGTACCCACCATGGGGGAGCATGGGATACCTGGGGCCCTGACTTCCCTCTCCCCACCTCTGCTTGATGGACCTACCTGCTCGGAACGCTTTCCCCAGCCTCGCCTCCCATTAACTGCCTTCAGGACCTGATGACACCTCCTCCAGGAAGCCTGCCTGTATTTCCACTCTTGGGTATAGGCATTGCTTCTGAACCATGGGACGCCTGATAGTGATGGGTCTCAACCTGCTGAATTCTAAGCCATGTCCCATTTACTTGAGTCCTGACTCCTTCCCTACCCCATCCCAGTGTCCCATCACATCCTTCAAATTCACCTGCCCGGTTCTGAGTGTCAGCTTCTCACTAACGTGCTCTGGCCCCTCCAATCTATTCCAGGCATTGGCCTCTTGAACGAGCCCTGACTTTTGCCACCTGTGCTGTCACTCATCTAAGCTTTCACTGAATCAGTGCCTTAGACAATTCTCATGCCTCATTCTGAACCATAGTCCCTCTCTCTTAGGGACTCCTAATATCCTAGCACAATAGCTTCTCAGCTTTACCTCTCTGGGCCTTGATTTCCCCATCTATGAATGGGATATAGGACCGTCTGCCAGGTTGTTAAGGTGAAATGAACACGCATGTTCACAGCAGCATGAGTCACGTCAGCCAAAAAAGTGGAAACGGCCCAAATGTCCATCAACAGATGATGGACAAACAAATGTGTCCCTCCACACACGGGAACATCACTCAGCCGTGAAAAGGAGAGAAGCAACCGACACTACAACATGGACAGACCTTGAAAACATGATGCTCAGTGAGAGAAGCCAGACAGAGAGGGACACAGTGTGTGATTCCACTGATGGGAAACATCCAGAACAGGCAAATACATAGACACAGAAAAAGTGGGTCAGTGGTTGTTGGGAGCTGGGAGAGGGGGAATGGAGAGGGAGTTTCTTTTGAGGTGATGGAATGTTCTGGAATTAGAAGTGCTCGTTGCAGAACCTGGTAAATGTACTAAAAAAATGTACACTTAAAAGAGTGAATTTACATACTTATACACACACACATTGACATGTAAGGCACATAGTAAGTGCTAAAAAATAATATTTATAAGGTATGGTGAATGTCTATAAATGCAAAACTGTTCAGCATTCAGACCCCAACCGTGGAAAACCGTCTCCCTTCCCCCCTCAACTGCTGAACGCAGCAGCCAGAAAATAGATATTGATTCTGTCGGCACCTCCCTGCCAGGTTCAAAGCCAGAGTCCTCCGGTGAGCAGGCCCAGGGCAAAGTCTTGCCTGCCAGCCTGCTTTGATCTCTCCGGCCCGGGGAATTTTCAAGGACCCGATCTCAACTGCAGTCTCCCCCACTGCTTACAACTTCTGCACAGAAAGTTCTTCCAGACCACCTCATTTTTTTAAACTTAAAAAAAAAAAAAACAATTTGGGCTTCCTGGTGGCGCAGTAGTTGAGAGTCCGCCTGCCGATGCAGGGGACGCGGGTTCGTGCCCCGGTCCGGGAAGATCCCACATGCCGCGGAGCGGCTGG